ACATGAAGATGTTGATACTGAAAACATACCAGAAGTATTGAAACAAAATATTTATGGGCATCGGTTGCTAAAGTTTGGAGACTTTTTGTTCTTAATTCATCATGATTGGACAGTGATTTGTGGTGGAGGTTTCCTCTTGCTGTGCTTTCTATTTGATCTTTAATCTAATTGTTATATTATTTTTTTGTTGTATGGATGGTTGGATTCTTCCTCCACCATAGTATTAACTGACAATGGATATTAAAGATATTTATTTGTACGAAAAGTATGATAGTGGATTGTTCAACTATGTTACTTATGCGAGTATATGCCAAACTACATCAAGTATCTTAGGCTTACGCATCATTATTTATCTTTCCAACGCACTTGTTGTGATTGTATTGCATCATGATACTCAACTGTTTATATTTGGTAAGATCTCCACTATATAATCAACCACCAATTTATGTTTTGATAGTTGAAACAAGGGTAAAAAAATAAAAACATAATTTAGAATGGTTTACGTGCAACGCATGTATACATCAACTAGTATATATATATATATATATATATACCTTGCAATGGATGGATTACAGAATTGAATGACCCAACTCAGAGAGAAAAAGTTTTGCGATATTCTGTTATTGCGGTAAAGAACTATTCAACCTCTACCCGATCAGAGTTAAGACTAACTGTTCTTGAACCCATGATTGGTTCTTGCAGCAATTCAAATATTGTCTATGATACTGAACTTCACATATTGATAATCAATGAATGTTCCTTGCCTAAGCACATACATGAAGGTGATGCACTGAAACTAGACTACCAACCATCCATCTGTATGCCTTCCTAGGATTATCAGGCTCCTTACATCCCAAAGCTATTTGTTACTGATTTGATCAATCAAAGAATTGCTAGATGGGGATCTTCTATTGTGTTCAGTAGAAAAGGAGAGATGGTTGGTATCTCCCCCGACAGGGACGGGAACAGCCTTTGGGCTTACCTGTTACCATACACATCCGGTTAAGGCTACCCACTTCGGTGGATCTCTAACCCAATTTTTTTTTTTTAAAAAGAAGAAGGATCTTCTATTAGTTTACAAAGAGAAGCTCAATATCTGAATGGGTTTTGAGAATGGTCAAAGTGAATTTGCTTCAAGCTATTAGACAAAGACTTCTATGAACTTGCTTATGCCATGCATGCAGCTTCCTTCGACTATTATTGACTTGACTGTATGTACTATGCTCTTTGTGAAGTATGGCGTCCGCAAACAAATACCTTCATTCGTCTAACAAATTTCAAGCCTGCTTCTCGAATGGCCGTTGGAGTCACAAATAGTTTAGTTCATTCTATTGACAAAAACATTTGTAGAGGCCTATCTAAGACCAACAGTATCCATGGTGAACGAAATGATCTTGGGTCAGCTTCTATTTTTGTAAGGTCATTTCTTTTACGCCTGGACGAGACTACATTTTGGTCGAGGAGTTTATGGTGAGATTGATGAAGGCGTTGATCATCCTTTGCTTTGATGATTTGGGGCAAGTTGAATGCTTACCATTTTTTATGGGGAGGAGGCACAACAATCTCAAGATCTTTTTTCGTGGAAGCAAAAATTCTAATGATTTTTGCTAGCAGCCAATTACATACCAAGGAAGACATGGCTTCCACCGTGGTGATGGAATGAGGTCGATAGAGACCCTTAAGTTTACGATAAGTATATGACTTGGATATATTTCGTATCATTGTGGCTCGATGTGCATCATCAAGATGTAAAACCCACGTCATTTTGCGAGGCATCATGGGTTTCTTCAAAGGCTTTCGGGCACTCATATACATTCATCAAAATTCTCGTGTGTTGCCGTCTCTTTATACCAGGCTTGGTTGACTTTAACCATGATGAAGAGTGGAGTAGAATTTCATCTTCCTGGTCAATGTACTCGGATTGATGATCGGTGTGAGGATAGCTATGACAACTGGTGAAAGAATGATGTGTTTTCATACCTCAATAACATTGACTGTAGGAATTTATTAGCCNAGTTTATGGTGAGATTGATGAAGGCGTTGATCATCCTTTGCTTTGATGATTTGGGGCAAGTTGAATGCTTACCATTTTTTATGGGGAGGAGGCACAACAATCTCAAGATCTTTTTTCGTGGAAGCAAAAATTCTAATGATTTTTGCTAGCAGCCAATTACATACCAAGGAAGACATGGCTTCCACCGTGGTGATGGAATGAGGTCGATAGAGACCCTTAAGTTTACGATAAGTATATGACTTGGATATATTTCGTATCATTGTGGCTCGATGTGCATCATCAAGATGTAAAACCCACGTCACTTTGCGAGGCATCATGGGTTTCTTCAAAGGCTTTCGGGCACTCATATACATTCATCAAAATTCTCGTGTGATGCCGTCTCTTTATACCAGGCTTGGTTGACTTTAACCATGATGAAGAGTGGAGTAGAATTTCATCTTCCTGGTTAATGTACTCGGATTGATGATCGGTGTGAGGATAGCTATGACAACCGGTGAAAGAATAATGTGTTTTCATACCTCAATAACATTGACTGTAGGAATTTATTAGCCAACGAGTCTAGAAATTTTAAACTCAAAGCATATATGGTTGGGTCAAAGCAAGATAAAACCCTATCTAAAGAGCTTGAAATACTCTTTTTTCTTCGAAAGCCTGATGGTTCAAAGGACATTTTTAGATACTCATGATCAGTTAGCTCAAAAGATGTTAAAGATCATGAGACCCTCCTTATGATCGACTATTGTTGGTGTTGTACAGCTGAAAGCCAGAGGTTTGATGGAGCGAACTTATCATAAGATACTGATCATTTAATCCTTTTGTCACGTATGTTGCCGAATGTTTTTAGCAAATAACATTTGGGCTCAAGTTTCGTGAGTACTCAATTCAATACTTTGCAGGTTGATGACCCTAATGCTACTAAACTTCAAGCCAAAGGGGGTCAAGCACAAGGTTTAGACGTTTAACCTTGTTAAGCACAGATTCGGACAGAAGATAGGCCACGTTATACTGTGACCCGAACTCCCACTAGTAATATTGACTCTTTTAGTGATGCCCTGGATACTTTAATGAATCCATATTATTTGAAATTATCTGTGCAGACCAACAATGGAGGTACTCTTTCTTTCTTTTCCTTCACTCCCAGATCTTGCAACATTGGATACCATTTTAAGTATGTGTGAAGATTAAATTCATGACAATAACATCACCGAAGCATTGTTCGATGACAATGATTGTACCATATTTGTAGCTTCTAATGGATACTCTATTTTGTTTTGAGTACGAGATTTTACCTTTGATTGGCGAAGAAAATACATATACTCGTAAAGATGAAGTTAACCCAATGACATACCTTATGTATGTCAAACCAGCAGATCAATGACATAATAACAGTTACCCTTCTTGATTTCTGTCCACATGATGAATCTGTGTTCCCAAGATTAATTTCTATTTCTGGTACGTTTCAATTACTTAGGCTCTTCTTCGAATTAATATTTCATTGGCTAATAACCTTAACGATTAAAGATCATGTCTCAGATTTTCTTACTGAAGCAATCACTTCTGAAAAATTAGCAAACCTGTACCAACAACTGGATAGAGTAACAAAGAAAAACCATTATACAGAAAAGGAGAGCATAACAATTTAAATATAAAAATCTGGCCATTGATTATCGAACCTAAATGATTAAAATCCATAGTAAAATGGGGCAACAAAATGAAAACATGTAAAGATGATTTTTGCGATGCACGAGATAGATTTTTGATAAAAAAAAAGAAGAAGAAATAGGTTGTTTTTTCTTTGTTGATAAGTAGTGGTCATATTATTTAATTCTTATTTTTATCATATNTTAAAATCCATAGTAAAATGGGGCAACAAAATGAAAACATGTAAAGATGATTTTTGCAATGCACGAGATCGATTTTTGATAAAAAAAAAAGAAGAAGAAATAGGTTGTTTTTTCTTTATTGATAAGTAGTGGTCATATTATTTAATTCTTATTTTTATCATATGTTTTTTGATCATTATCTTAGGTGGTTAATTTAAAAAGTCATTGTGCTTTCTATAATAGCTAGTCCATCAAAATCAACTAGCCATGGTAATAATGGGTGTAACTGAAAATTTTGAATAAATTCTTTAGAAACTTCTTCATAATTTTGACAAAGTCATGGACTATTTGGATTATTAGAAATTGACATATAAACTAAAAAAGGGATGATGCGAAATTTCAGATGATAGAGACTAAGATATGATAAACTATAGGAACAATGTTGCCTTTATCAAATTTTTTTTTTCAAAATTAATATGGGTGTTTGGATTAATGGTCCATTGAAATTCATGCCACATCATTAGAGATTGAGATGTAAAATTTGATAAAAAAGCTTAATATACACATGTAAGGATCAAAATTTTATTTCGAAACAATCAAAACGTTTCTATTTTAAAGAGGCCGAAGCAAAACAATGATAAAATCGACTTTAAAGTGTTTTGAGGTTTTCTAAGATATTTAGGTATATTTTGACTAATATTTTGAAACAGTTTACAAATAAATTATTAAAATTTTTTAATTTTTATTTTATTTTTGAAACATTTTAATTTCCTACGTGACTAAAATAATGTTCCGAAATAAATTTTTAATTCTCGACCACATGGGTCTGGATAAATGTTTCCCAATATCTAATTATAAAAGTAAGAAGGTCTACTTTTCAATAACGCCACCCAAGAGGGACTTTTCTGCAAATCTCTTCAGATTCACAATGTAAATAACCTTCTCTGAGTTGCCAGTAAATTGGCTCACTCTCTCTTTCATGCTCCTGGACGTGGTGTCTTGGTCGNACGCCACCCAAGAGGGACTTTTCTGCAAATCTCTTCAGATTCACAATGTAAATAACGTTCTCTGAGTTGCCAGTAAATTGGCTCACTCTCTCTTTCATGCTCCTGGACGTGGTGTCTTGGTTGTGGGTTCGAAACGATCATATTCGCAGCTGAAAAATGTCGTCTAAAGGTAAAGAAAAAGTGGACGGAAAAGACTACTCGGGTAAGAGAAAGCGCGGTGACGACGATAAAAGTGGCCGTCGGAAGAGGAAGAACCGTGATGTCCTTCAGTTCTTCGAAGACGTAGCGTACGATGTCGGCGATGAAAGCGAGTCCAGCGACGGTAGCGGCTTCGATGATGGTGAAACCATTTTTTAAATTGTCATTTGTATTATCGTCTTTGTGGGCTCTTAGGGTTTGTGTTTTTATTTATTTCGGTGTTTTGTTGAAATGTTGAAGAAATTAGGGTTCATTGTGGATTGTATGTGTGTTGGAGGGAAATGCGGGTTGGATAGGGATCGTCAAACCCAACATTTTGATTTGATTTGGGTGAAAGTGTATTTGGTGGGAAACACGGTTTTTTTTTGCAGCTGTTTTACCATATAGTGTTTGAATGGTTTCTTAGGGTTTTGTTGTGTTTTTGAGGTATTTTGGTGAAACTCTGGACTACATTACGGGTTGGTGGACTGAACGTTGTTATGAGTTCCAGTTCTATTTTCAAGGAATTTGGGGTTTATATCTCTGTTTTGGAGCTAATTTACCAAAATGTTGTTGAAATTAAGGTTTGTTTGGAGTAAATTTTAGTTGATATCTGTTTTCAGTCAGTTTTCTTTTTAAAAAAAACGTGTTCGTTGTATATTCGTTAAAACTGTCTGTGTATAACTTTTTAAGGGCTGCTAGTTCTTTTGACAGTCCATTTGGTGCTAGTATGAAGACTTGTGTGTATTTTTAGGGATTTGTGACGGTTTTGTGTTTATTTGTTGCAAAAAATATGGGTTTACTTCGACAGTTGAGAATTTCTTGATTGTGTATTCGTATTTTGGGGATGAGATTGATTTTTGAGTTTTTTGTTGGTTTTTCCCGGCAAATATGGTGGTTTTAATTACTTAGAGAATCATGATTTAAACTATCGGTACCTATGTCGAGTCATATCCAACTCGAATTACATTGTGAATCATAATTCAAAATATCGATTGTTAGATTGAGTCATATCCAACTCGACGCCTGCAACTCGATACCATTTTAGGTTTTTTTTAAACCATGAGTGTTTGGTCATCCAAGATGTCTATGAGTTAAAACTGTTATGATAGTCATCGTTACCGAATTGGCCTATACCGTTAACTACTATATGCTTCTCACTTGTTAAGATCAACTTCTTCGTTTATGTAGCATTTTATGGCTTATCGTTGGATACTCCCATGACGCTTGAATACATTCTGAGTTGATTGCTGATACCACTATTTTGAACCATGTCTTGAATATCAAGGGTTTTTAGTCTCATAACGAGACAATTCATGCACTTGAAGGATTATTTTTGTTTGTTAAGGCACTTATGGGTTACACCATTATTGAAAGAAATATGAGGTAAATTTATGCTTGTAGTTTGTTAAATTCATTTTTCTTATCAACAACGTCTTTAAGGTTTCATATGTGCTTTGCTTCTTCCTTTTTTTTTTTGTGCTGGTTTTTACTCCATAGTAAGACACCATTTAATCAATTATACTTCATCAATCAATTATTTATACTTCCTTTACTTATATAATTAATACTTTAATTGTTTGACTAACGCAATCCCTCTCTATGAAAAATTAACCGCAAATGTTAAAACTGGTATATTTGGTATCTCTTGTTTTTCAATTTTCGTTATCTTTGTTTGGATATCCCATTATACATGTTTCTTTCTCGCGATTATGTCATTTCCTAGAACTCTTGATTCCATTATTGCTCACATTTTCTCATCTTTTTCATCACCGATTTGTTGGACCTTAAGAAGGTTTTGAGATGTCTTTTCTTTTGGTTATTTTTGATAATCTTGTGTTGAATTTGGATATAAGAATTTGGACTATTTCTTCATTCGGAGAGTTCTCTTGTAAGCTTTTTCTCCTTGAATTGATAAGCCAAGTATCCCAATCTTCCAACCTTCAAACAAGATATAGAAGGCTTTGGCTCCTTGCTTCTGCATAGGAAACTCAACACTAATGATTAACTCACAAGAAGAGGATCATCATATTCTTTTCATCCACAACGGTGAATTCTTTTTAAGAATCTGGACGAGTGTATGCACCATTTACTTTGACTCGGTTCCCTATTATTAATTTATGGAACCAATTTTTTGTTATATGATTGTACTCCCCTGGGTGACTTGTGTAGAGGTTGTTAGTCGATCTTTGTCATTGATTTTGATGGATTTGGTACAAGTGACAAAACTAGGATTTCTTTTTTGGAGATGGGGGGTTTGGGCATTATTTTGGGTGGTATAGTCATAAAAAAAGAGAATTTTTGGAGGTTGTCAGAATGGAAAGTTTTGTGGGATAAAATATTTCATGACATCTCTTTGGGCTTCCGTGATGGAATAATTTGAAGGAATTCCACTTTCTTTTTTTTTTTTGGGTAAAGGACTATTGGGTCAAGTGTGCTAGAACTTTGATGCTTATAATTTTACATTTCTTTAACTTTTCACAATTTATTTTTTCAATCTTGAATCATTTAGTGAAATCCTTGTCCTCTCATGTACTCTTTATCTTTTATTATTAATTAATATCTCTCGTTGTCTATAATAAGAGACTAATGTTACTTTTCATGAAATTAGTTCTAGTTCTACTCTCCTCTTTTTGATTCTAAGTTTTCTTTGCAAACTTGTCAAACATCTAATTCTTACTTTAGTTTTATCAATCAATGCTATAGCATATACAAATGACATAAATAATGGCGTTTCATGCTGAATATGTCTCATTAGTTTCTCCATAACCTCAAAAAAAGATACAAATTTGAGGTTGCTCTCTGATTGAAACCTATAGTGTGCATAATTCACTATTAAACAAATACCTTCCGTTGTTAACCTCTGAGGTATAAATCTAGACTGATTATCAAATCTTATTTCCTCAAGTCTTAGTTGTTGCTCTATCATTCTTTTTATACATAAGTACTAAAATACTCCTCCCCTTATCAGTTATTTTCTTTGTTATTATAATCTTACTAAATAGCTTTGTTAAACTCCAGTTTCCTCTAAATACCTAAGAAGCCTTGATAGGTATACTATGAGATCCTAAAGCTTTTACAATTTTCGTTTTCTTTGATCATTTTTACTTTTGAAACCATAATTCTATGGAAAAATTTACGATATTTTTAAACACTTGAGATTCCTATTTGATTTCATTCTTCCTAGCATAATTTTTTATTTTTTCTTAATTTCCTAATTGCTTATTGTGTACCAAGATCGTTGAATTGTTGATTGATTCTAATATGATAAGATCCCTATTTTTTTCTTTTCCTTAATTTAATTAGTATCATCTTTTTACTGTTTGTTTAATTTCTTTATTTCCAAGTTTATATTCTAGTAAGCTTTCATCATCTCTAATTAGGTGTTACAGAATGGTCTTTTTGTTTTTAGTCTGCTTTGGACCTTATTTTTCAATTGTTTTCTTTTAGTAGTTATCTTTATACCTCTTATTTTCTTCTTTTTCAAACGTTCAGTACGTATTTTGACTGCTTATACTTGTTGCATGACAAATCACGGTTGGATATGGGAAGTATTGGTGCATTTTGGAAAAATGGAGTTAACTTTGGTATTCCAAGTTAATAGAAATCTTATTTTTGGAATGAGCTTTGATGGTGAAACAGTTATATGGTTGGCCTAGTTTGCTTCAGCTGGAGGGGACTTTTGGGCTGCAAGTTTACTGTGATACAGTTTTTAGACCTGCAGATACAATTTACCCATCTAGTTAGGGGTCTTGGCGTCATGATTGTTTGCTAAGATAAACAAATCTTATGTTTTTCTTTTTGCTTTCTGTTGTGTGATTGATATTTTGACTAATCACTTTTTCTTACATGCACTGGTAACAGATTTTCTGGAAGAGGAATTTGATATGGGTGTTGAAGTTAAGGGTGAACCAGGAAAAACTCCTTCCCTTCCCTTTTTGCCAAAAGAGGAGGAGTTGAGTGGGGAAGAACTTGAAAAAATGTTGGAGGAGCGTTACAAACCAGGTTCTAGTTTTGTTACATATGCAGAAGATGGATATGAGACCAAAAAATCAATTGATAGAAGTACTAGTTTTCCCTCTGCTAATGATCCAATCATCTGGAAAGTCAAATGCATGGTATAGTGTTTAATAATTGAAGTGATTATGTCCTAGAATGCTGCTTGAATTTTCTTGTCCTTTCATTCTTCCTCTTTTGTGCGGCCTTTTCTGAATTTTCTTGGTTGTAGGTGGGACACGAGAAGCATTCAGCTTTCTGCCTTATGCAGAAGTATGTTGATTTGCTGTCTCTGGGAACTAAGTTGCAGATAATTTCTGCATTTGCGCTAGAACATGTAAATGGCTTTATTTATATTGAAGCTGACAAGCAATCTGATGTCAATGAGGTACTCTATTTTTGACATGATAAGTGGAGAGCATATGTTTCGCTTTTGTATGTTGTAATTTGGTTCCTAATGATATTGTCTCTAGACTGATATGAGACCACATTTTACTTCTAAATACAGGCATGTAAAGGGTTTTGTAGTATATATTCGAGTCGAATTACACCTGTCCCAAAGAATGAAGTTTCTCATTTGCTCTCTGTCCGAAACAAGTATAGTGGAATTTCTGAGGGCATGTGGGCCCGTGTGAAGAGTGGGAAATACAAAGGGGACCTAGCTCAGGTATTTTGTGCTAACCTGTTGAACTAGCCGTCTAATTACTGATTTCAACCCGTCTCTCTCCCTCTCCCTCTCTGGTGTGTGCCTGTCCTTTCTTTCTTCTTCTGTTCTTCCAGTATTATCCTGTGATTGGTACTTTTAATCTGCACTTGGTTTTCTTTATTTCATTTCTATTTTTGTAGGTTGTGACTGTAAAGGATGTCCGGAAAAAAGCTACAGTCAAGCTGATCCCGAGAATAGATCTGCAAGCAATGGCTGCAAAATTTGTAATAAATTTTACTTGTTACTATATATTTGTTTTTGTTGGTTATAAGAATATCTTCGATTTTCTGTGTTTGTTGTTTAGTCTATAGCAGAAATAGCTTTTTTTTTTCCCCTTTCTGGAAAAGGCACTCAAATGGCAAAAGTGTAGAAGTAGACCCTGTAGATGGTCTTCTGGATGTTGATTTAGTGGAACTTTCTCCTTATTTTCTGATCCTTTTTTAAGAGAACTTGAGTTTTGCATGTTTCTGGCTAAGTTTGATATCTGTTCATGTACCCCATTTGTTAGTCTTCAATCTCTGGAACTTAACGTATAAGAATTTTGGCTCCCTGTTTCAGAAATTGCTTACTGGTCTAGCATGTTCACGTACAAATATTGTGGAATTTAGTTGGGCAATGCAATATGTCTTCTTTAGACTGTTGTTTCGATGTTAGAGGTTGTGGAATCCTCATTTATGCAAATGCATCTCTGTAGCATATTTTTGTGATAATTGACTTATCTATTTGGCTTGTATTTCTGAAACTTTTATTTTAGGGAGCTTGTTTTTTGATGTGAGACTGAAGTTATCTGATTCTTAGTCATGTCATATTGGAATCCTTCAAATCACATGGTTTTTCTATAGTTTAATGTATCATTTATGTGTAGAGTAATTATACACTTGATGTGGATATTAATTTTGTTGTAACGTTTTTTGACAAGTAATTGGAAATTCATTAGAACATGCCACGCAGAAAGGGGAGGAAACAACATATTGACAAAATGAGTGCAGTGAAAATGAGAATGCTAAGGTGGATGTGTGGAAAAATTAGAAATGATAGAATAAGAAATGACTGTATTAGAGAAATGGTAGGAGTAGCTCCAATTGAGAATAAATTAAGAAAAAATAGATTAAAATGGTTTGGTCATGTTCAACGGAGGCCGATAGAGACACCGGTTCGAAAAAGTGAGATAATCTCTCTTAATGGTACTAGAAGTAGGGGTAGACCTAATTAACATTGAACAAAATAATAAAAAAAGATATGAAAATATTTAACTTAAATGAGCGTGTAGTACATGATCGAAATGAATGGCAAAGACGGACTCATATAGCCAACCCCAAATGATTGGGACATAAGGCTTAGTTTGGTTTGGTTAGAATACTTACAACCACATTCTTAGCCCTCCCCTGGCTCGTGGGGCCCGTAAACAAAAAAATTCATTTAGTTTTGATTTAGAAGAGCATCATGCTTAGTTTTTATTTTTAAAGTAACCACCATGCAGGTTGATGTATTTTGTTCCGTGATACCAAGTCATCCTAAAATGTTGGTTGATTATGATGCACACATTATATCTTATTCTGTTACAGAGTTTCCGCCTTTTTTTTCCCTGGGATGTTTTGATGCATTATATGGGAATTTGGAGCAGAAAAACTATGTTACTTGGCTGAAATTCATTTATATGATGATTATGGGAGAAGTGTTTTGTACATGTGTTCAGGGTGGAGGAGTTACTTGCAAGAAGAATGCTATTCCTGCACCAAGATTGATCAGCTCTAGTGAACTCCAGTAATATGCATAGTCTCATTTTTCAGTGTTTTCTAATGTCACATGGTTGAATCTACATACATACCTATTTGACATTGCATCTATCTAGGGAGTTCCGACCGCTCATTCAATATAGACGCGACCGTGATACTGGAAAAATGTTTGAGATTCTTGATGGGATGATGCTCAAGGATGGTTATTTATACAAAAAAGTGCCCCTTGACTCTCTAAGTTTCTGGGGTGTGGTGCCATCTGAAGATGAGCTCCTGAAGTTTGAGCCTTCTGAGAACAATGAATCTAAGGATGTAGAGTGGCTTTCCCAGCTTTATGGTGAAGCAAAGAAGCCGCCCATTGTAAAGGGTGACAAAGGAGGTGGAAAAGGAAAGTGTTCGACAAGCTCCAGTATGGCGAGTAGCTTTGAAGTTCATGATCTAGTGTTTGTTGGGTAAGTTCACTGCCTATTTTTGGTTGCATCAAGCTTATATACCAACTCTTTCCCTGAATGGGCTTTGCGACATTTTTTGTCATTGCAGTCGAAAGGGTTTTGGCATTATCGTAGGCACAGAGAAGGAAGATAATTTCAAGGTATATAATTTATTATGTGTTTTTTTTTTGGGTCAGAAGACAAATAAACACACACAGAGTCCACACATCAAAGAGCTCAAGCACACTGTGGCAGAGAGGGACCCACAAGCCCACACCATCCAGGCAATTGCTGACTGGAGGGAAGGAGAGCAGGCCACTTATACTCACCCCTATTGTGCTGAGCCAACAATGTGGGACAAACAAGCTTAGTTTTTTTGGTCAGAAGACAAATAAACACACACACACATATAATTTATTATGTTTACTTTATTCCTATGTTGTTGGCAACGTAGTTAAACTGATTTTGTTCCAGATTATGAAGGAGGGTTCGGAAGGACCAGTAGTTGTGACTGTTGAACCACGTGAGTTAAAGAATGCATCATTTGATAAGAAATTATTCACTGCATTAGATCAGCACATGAAGACCATATCGGTGAATGATACTGTCAGGGTATTGGAAGGTCCATTAATGGTAGAAGCTAATCTCTATCTTGGTTTAGTGATTTCATTATTGTTAATTTTTTAGCAAGTACTACCCTCCATTTAAACCAATATGCAACTAATGGTAGTTCTTACACTTTGCAGGGTAGGCAAGGGATTGTTAAGAAAATTTATCGAGGAACCATCTTTTTATATGATGAAAATGAACAGGAAAATGGTGGTTATATCTGTTCTAAAGCTCAATTATGTGAAAAAGTGATTTCTGGCGATGCATCTGATAAAAAGGTTTGTGTGTCATGTAACTCAAGTGTAGGTGGTGCCTTCCCCCACGACTTGCTAACATATCTATTCAATGTATAATTTCTGTTCTGATTCAGGGTGGTGAACCAGGCCCCTCTGGTTTTGACAATTTCCCATCATCTCCAAAATCTCCTTTGTCGCCCAAGAAGCCTTGGCAAGGGAAGGATGATAACTGCAACTGTATGTTCAGAAGTTTCTAATGCCTGCTAATGTGATATATTAGCCTTAGGTTCTCTTCTCTTTTTGTCTTAATAATGTACTGTTATGCATGCAGTCAACCGGGAAGATAAAGATGGAATGTTCTTTGTTGGTCAATCAGTGAGAATCCGAGTGGGTCCTTTAAAGGGATATCTGTGTCGTGTATTGGCTGTTCGCCGTTCTGATGTCACCGTGAAGCTTGATTCTCAGCATAAGATTCTTACAGGTTTAATTCTTGCATACGTGTGGTTCTGTTTTGGTGTGAGTTCAAATGTTCAATAACTGACAATCTCCTCATATGTGTTTCTATAGTTAAAAGTGAGCATCTTTCAGAGGTTCGCGGAAAGATTTCTGCCGTTTCAACGAGGTATTATCTAATAGGACTCAACCATTTTCGTGCCAACATGATCAATATACTGTAGATTGTCATGGTCTCTGGATTTCAACTTATGTGCTGTTTGCTTTTGTCTGAAGTGAGGATCCGGATTCTGTAAAACCATTTGATCTGCTTGGAACCCAAGATGGCTCCGGAGGTAGGGACTTAAAACCACTTTTTTTACTTGAACGGCAGATAGTATCATTTTCCAATACTTCACTGAGTTTTAGTGTCAGTGTTTCTTGCCAATACTTCACTGAGTTTAGTGTAGATAAGTACCTGTAGCAGTAATTTTGAAGGTCTAGTTGAATTACACACAATCTACATAATATTGCAGCCATTCTTTGAATCTAGTTCGTTCTGGCAACAAATGTAAATGATTCTGTCATCTGATCTAGATATCGTGTTGGTCCCCCCCCCCTCTCTTCCCCTTTTCTCTCGTCCCCCAAAAATAAAAATGGAAAAAAAGCTGTTGGCGTTTGGCAAGGTGAAACGTGGGATAGGTTGTGCTAATTTTGTATGTTCTTATATTTTGAAGATTGGATGGATGGAGGGCAGGCATCAACAGCAGGTGGAGGGTGGACTGCCGGAGGGCAATCTACAGAAAGGTCAAAGTTGTGATGATGTTCATTGAATTTGCTTACGCATCATTTTTTCTTAATATTTGATTAATTATTGCTTTCAAATCTATCAAAGATGCAACTGCCTATACGTGGTATGGTCATACATCGATATTACCAATTTAAAGTTCAGGGATCCAATTTCCAAACATGGAAGTCTATTTCTAGGACTGTCAAAACTCAAATGATTCGAGTAGCTCAAGCTTGGCTTGGTTTGGCTTGTTCAAATTACCAGATGAGTTGAATTTGATCAAATTTGTATACGCGTTTTATACGAGCCGAATCCGAACAATTTATTGCTCGCTTTGTGTGGGCTCGGCTCGAGCAAGGTTCCTGTCTATGAATGACTCTAATTTCAGTGCTAAGCAACCTTCTATGAAAGATGATCAACCCAAAATATTTCTCCAAATAACTTCAAATCATACACTTATCTCTCCTCTTCTTTAATAGTTTTTTGAAGAAATTTAGCTCCTAAAGTTTGATTTTAAGATTTATTATGCAGTTTTTTCATGGATTTCTGTTGAGAAATTGGTTATTTTAGGATTCATTATTAAGTTTTATGGTTGGATTAATATAACAGCTAACTTGTATAACAGGCTGATTGCTTGGGTGTTAAAAAATTCCGATGGATTTACCTTGCTATTTCTCAGGATAGAGTAACTTGATGGCTTGAACTGTCTTGGCATGTGGTGCTTGCATATTACTAAAATTTCAGTTTTACTGTGATTTAAATGTGCCAATATTTCTTCAAACTGAGAGTTATAGCAGATTTGATTTGGAAAAAAAATAAATTCTTATGCAGGAAAATAGAGTATTAAGAGCTGTCTATAATTGGTCATGTTTTTGTTGTGCTGTCATGTTCTGTCTTTATCCGATATTGTGTTTCTTTGGTATCTGTATGTGATACATGTATCACATTGTATACCCATTCTACGTACTATAATTCAATTGGAAGTTACCTATATAAAGCGCTATTTTTTTATGTTGTTTTGCCCAAGTTTGAAGATAATTGATTGCATGAAATGTTTATTGCTTGTCTGCCTGATGTGTTGTTATAGTATTGTCAGATATGGGGTGTGAATGAGGGTTTGACTTAGAGGTGTTAGGCGTTCATAGTCCTTTATTTACTTTTTTGATATCTATGATTATATAGCTCTCGTTTACTTCTGTGCTATATTCTTGAGAGTGACCTGATTATCATAGCATTTCTGTGCAGGAGTTCCTGGCCTTCGTTCCCTACCTCTAGCATCTCGGTTAGATCAGAACTTGCTCTATTTATGTTCAGCTCTCATCTATAATGTTTTGGTTACATCACTATCTTATATCTCTCTGCACCTCAGATTTTTGATGAATCTTTTGATGGTTACAGCTTCAGCCGGAATCTGGTTCAGCTAATCCTCCTCTCTGTGTGGACAATGATCTCAATAAGGGTATGGTCCACCTTTTGTCTTGTATTTGAAAATCAGTATAGATTCTCCACGGATATTGGTTTTCTTTTTCATGTGCCGCTACTACTTATTAATGCTTACCGAATGGTGTGAAGATGTTGGAGAATCTGCTTGGGAGACTAAAGTGACCACAAATCAGAACCCTTCGTGGGGTCCAGGAGTTGCTGATGATAAAGCTGTCCTGGGTACTGAACAAGTGGGAGGCTGGGGAAAAAGTGAAGATGGTTGGAATAAAGCTACTTCTAATGCTGGCTTTGGTAGCAGTACAGCCAATGATAGCTGGGGTAGGACAAGAATATCTACTGGGGATCCAGTTGGCTCTTCGAAAGATGCTGGAGACAACTGGGGTAAGGCAAAGCTCACAATTGGAAGTTCTTCCAATTATGCAAATGATGCTGCAGCCTCGTGGAGCAAGGAGTATACTGCTAGTAACCTGGATGATGGATGGAAAAGAGCAGCAGACAAAGTCTCCAATGTTGCTGTCCCAACAAGCAGCTGGAATAATCCAAATGCCGGGAGGGCCCCGACAGAGTCCTGGGGCAAAGGAAATGATGGTGGCAGTGATGAATCGGCTTGGGGCAAAGCTGCAGAGAAGGGGAGCAATAATGACGATTCCAGCAAAGGTAAGGCAGTTTGGGGTACTTCTGGAGCTATACCTGAGAAACAAACTGGCGGATGGGGTAATGCTGGTGGGAGCTTGGCCCAACCAGAAATGAGTATAGGTGGATCCAACTGGGGGAAAGCTTTGAAGTCCCAAGATGAAGTCACTGAAGGTGCTGGGAAGTGGGCCACTAAAGATGTTCCTAATGGAAATCAGACAGGTTGGAATAGTTCTTCAGCTGTAGCAGAGTCTCAAAGTGGGAGATGGGGTAATGCAGGTCGTAGCTTGTCTAAACCTGATGGAGATACAAGTAGCTGGAAGAAAACTGCAAGTGTAACTGGAGGTCAGGCTCAAAAATGGGGGAACAAGAAAGAAGATGGTGAAGATGCAACAGGATGGGCAAAAGGTGGATCTGGTAGTAAAGATCGGACTGATGGTTGGAACAAACCAACGACCTTTGGTGCTGATGGGGGATCTTCCTGGAGCAAACAGGATGGAAGATCTTCTTGGAGCAAACAGGATGGTGGATCTTCTCAGAGTGAACAAGCTGGAGAATCTTCATGGGGTAAACAGGCTGGAGGATCTTCCTGGAGTAAGCGAGCTGATGTTATTACTGATGATGAGTCAAAAGGAAGGACAAATCAAAATGATAGTTGGGAGAGACCAAAGAGTTTTGGTGGGGATCGAGGATTTGGTGGTTGGAACAAAGATAGATTGGGTAATAAAGATAGTACAGATCAAGAAGGCAGCTGGGAGAGGCCAAAATCATTTGATGGAGGCCGTGGTTCAGGTGGCCGAGGAGGTAGAGATCAAGTTGGCAGAGGAAGATCGTTTGATCAGAGCCAATCTTCTGGTTGGAGCAAAAAACAGGATGATTATGGGTCAAGTGATGGAACATCCAGGGGGAATATGTCCAGTTGGAGCAGTGGTCAAGCAGGTGGTTGGGGCAGAGACAAGGCCTCTGATGGAGATAAGAAAGATGAAAGTTGGAATAAACCAAATCTTTCTAGCGGGGACAGCAAAAGTGGTTGGGATACTAAAGCCTCTTCACAAGAGAAGAGCTCTGATTGGATTCAGAAATCTGCTGACAACGAGAAAGTTGGGGAGGGGAAAGATCAGGGAGATGGTTGGATGAGTAGAACAACTTCGAACGGAGGTTCAGCCACAGGATGGGGTCAAAGTAACCGATGGAAAAGCGGAGCAAATGATGCAGGTGAAAATCAGGATTCTGCTTGGGGCAACAAAAGCAACTGGAACTCTGGAAATGCTTTTGGTGGGAGTGAAAATCAAACTGACACTTTCGGTAACAGGGGAGCATATGGTAATTGGAGGGGGGGAGGCCGTGGAGGAAGAGGGGGATCAGACAGGGGGTTTGGCGGCAGAGGGGATTCGGACAGAGGCTTTGGAGGCAGAGGTGGATCAGACAGGGGAGGCTTCCGAGGTAGAGGCGGATCAGATAGGGGAGGCTTTCGAGGTCGAGGTGGTTCTGACAGGGGTGGTTTTGGAGGTAGAGGGCGTGGAAGGAGGAATTCGAGTGGTGATTGGAACGACAGAAATGATTCTGCTGAGGATCAGCCCTATGGCTGGACCAAAGGGTCAAACAGTAATGCTGAGGGATGGAAGAGCAATGATGGTGGAGGCAGTTGGAACCATGGAGGTGGTGGTAACAAGGGCCAGTGGCAGAGTTGGAATTCGGGTGGGAGCCAGGCCAAAGGGGCTGTGGAAAGTGGTCATAATACCCAAGGTGGTGGATGGAACAAAGAAACTGATTCTGCTAAAGATGCAGATGGGAGTGATGTTGCTGCCAGCAGTTGGGGCCAAGGAAACAATTGGAAATCTCCAAATACTTCTGGTGGGGTTCCGTCATCTGCAGGGAACCAACCAACGGTAAGCAAGGAAGCTGGAGGTTGGATTAAGCCTGAGTCAGGTTGGAGCTTGGGAAGTGGTCCAGGAAATGAAGTCGCATCTAATACTTGGAAACAATCAAATGCTGCAGCAGACGGTGACCAGTCGCGTGGTTGGAATCAAGCAGAAAGTGCAAAAGGAAAAGCTAGTGAAGGGGGAGGAACACCTGATTCATGGGGAAAGGCAGCAGCAAGCTCTTGGGGCAAAGGAAATGATGGAAATGGTAAAGGAGGATGGGCCCAGAATAAGCCGGAGCCAGGTTGGAACCGGGGAAGTGGTTCAGGAAATGAAGGTGCATCCAGGTCTTGGAACAAGTCTAATTCTGCAGACGGGGACCAGAATCAAGCAGAAGGTGCCAAAGCAAGAGCTGGTGAAGCTGGGGGACCAACTGATTCTTGGGGTAAGGCAACAGCAAGCTCTTGGGGCAACAAGGGAAATGATGGTGGCGGCAAAGGAGGGTGGTGTTAACCATCAAAGTAATTATTGCATTGCTGCATTTCTTTTGTTCGGAAGTTCTACATATCATGTTTATATTTGCTGGCTGGACAGTTTATCTTGTACATTGTGTGTCAAACTCTGAATGTGTGTTGTTATGTTTTAACCTTGGGCCTGGTGGTAGACTATTGGAGCACATCCTTTGGGGCATATCTTGTTTCTTCGAGCAGGGTAGGGGTCATGTTCTTCTGATCTTTGTTATGTAGAAGCTTGTGAAAAACCTTCGAATGCTTCATGAATTTGCTGCTTTAGTAGTACTAAGCATTTCCCTTCAAATTGAGTAGAAATTGAGGGCCTCAGTTAATGCTGTTCCCGTATTTGCTTGTGTTGTCTTGCTGGTACTTCTTTGTA